GGATATTAATATTTGGACGCAATTCTTGTTCTGACTGGGCACACGAAATTGAGAAAATTTTTATTGATGGCACGTTCTCCCTTGCTCCGCCGCTATTTCAGCAAGTTATAATGGTACAAGAACTCAACCTCGTTTTCCTGTTGCACTCTGGAATGTTTTTGAACGTACACTTAATGGTGGCGATCGAACAAATAACTATGCAGAATCAAGTCATAAACGCTTACAACGATCTTTTGGATGTGATCATCCTTCTCTATGGAAGTATGAATTATTATTTATTTCAGCATAAATTATTAATTCTAGGTTCATTGATACCATACAAGAGAACAAAAGGCTGTAGATGCTGACTATGCACAATTTACGATGGGTAGGAATCCACCACCGAAGGCGAAAAAGTATCGAGATGCGGATCGTCGACTGTTGAATCTGGTACAAAACTACGTTCCACTTATACCTGTTCAGAATGAGCAAATTAATTTTCATGCTGATACTTTTCTTACATATTTGGCTGGCATTTCTCGAAATTATTTAATAAACCAATAATTTTTTGTTTATTTATAATAAATTTTTGTTTATTTGACTCATATTTTTATTAAAATTTTGTTCCCTGAAGAAAAAAAGTCGAGACAAAGACTTCCCCCTAAGCCCGGAAAAACCCAAGTAAAGCCTAGAGTAAAGACTCGGCTATCTTTTAACTTGTTCTTTAGATCGTAGAAAGTAAGAAAAACAAAAAAATCTACTAGAAAATCTCTTTTACAACGTGCAATCTTTTTACAACGAGAAAATCTCTTTTACAACCTCCTCTTTTACAACGTGAACGGAACCGGCTGCACGGAACTGGGAAGGCACGGTCCCAGACCCAGTGGGCGTAGGTCCCGAACATAAAGAAATGTTTCGGTACCATACTCCAACTTTACAATACTAAGAAAAATCCAAATGTTTTTTGATTGGACGCATAAACTTTCATTGGACGCATAAAAGTCGATTGGACGCATAATCTGGAGTAGAGCCAAAAATACATATGCATTTGCATAAAAATCACAACTCTAGCAGAGTTGCGTCGTAATCGAAATTTTTTTCGTAATGGTAATTCGTAATTTAAAAAAAATTTCTGAATCGTAATTCGGGACACGCTCGATTAGGCGCGGGCCGACTAGGCGCGACCGATTAGGCGCCGGCCGATTAGGCAAAATTACAAACTATTACTTAACACGAACCTCCTAATCCCTACAAATCCCCTGATATCCGTTCAACTCCGAAACAAGAACTGAAATTTACAAAAACCCAACTCAACCCTACTTCTACTTTGCAACTTTTCACATTTCCAAAAACTTTTCACCTTCATGGACTTTTAAATCTTTAATCACTTTTCTGTGCCGCAGACAAAAATTTTGAGAATTTTGGAAAGCCTTAGAAGAAAAAAATGCAATTGTTAGACCGGAGGCCTTTGAAGTTAAGATGGTCATGAAACCAGAACTATTGGTTTTATGCGCCGCAAGCGAAAATTTTGGAAAATTCATGACTAAATTAAAATTTTTAATGTTTTTTCTAATTTAAAATATTAAAAAAAAATTACAAATTTAAAATCAAAATCAAAGTTTTAAAATTTTTATTTTCGAAAAAAAGAAATTTCTAAAGTTCCGATATTTTCGTAATCGTAATTCGTAACTCAAATTCGTAATTACGTAATTTGTAATTACGACGCAACCCTGAACTCTAGTAATATACATAATGTGTTTACCGAAGGAAATCTTTCGGTAATACCAAGTATTTCTATATGCACTAGAGATGTTAAAAATGGGATAGTATCTTTAAACTTAAGATATGAATTATTTGACGCTCCAATATTCAGAATAGAATTCGGTCGTAAAGAGGATTTATTTACAAAAGTCTATGTGGAAGGTGACGGTGAAAAAAGTGAATTTTTATAATATTTTATAGGATTAAGCGGTATCAGGATCAGATCGGTATTGTGCGGGGAGGGATAACGATATACCTCTCAACTTACAAGGGGACCTGTCGAACTGTAAGTCAAAAATTTGTATTTCTTTCAGTAACAATCGATAGAGCATCATCGATTTACTCAAAAAATTTTCGTCTTTTTTGGCTAGGAATATGAAACAAAAAGTTATGGGGGTAATTTTGAACTTTACAGACCCATTTTTTACTAACCAAGTTTTTCATTAAGATTGAGAGAATGGTAAGACTTCCTTTCTTCCCCTTTAATTTCCTACTTAGTCCTTTATGCTACGGTTACATAAAAAACGCGCGCGTCTTGCGGCAGAAAAGATAATGGGAAATGAGGAGAGAAAAAGACGCCGGCGTCTTGCCGCTTTTTTTGAGTGGTTACATAAACTGCGTCTTCCGCCAGCGTCAAGACGCCGGCGTCTTGACGCTTTTTTCGAGTGGTTACATAAACTGCGTCTTCCGCCGGCGTCTTGACGCCGGCGTCTTGCCGCTTTTTTCTAGTGGTTACATAAACTGCGTCTTCCGCCGGCGTCTTGACGCCGGCGTCTCTTTTTTTAATTCAAACATGTTTGAATTTTTTGCGGCAACTTTTAGCGTCTTGATCATTTCTCGGCCAATTCTAATCCGATTTTCAAAATTTAAAAAGATTCTGAAAATTCAATTCATTCTCTATCGATCAATATAAATTTTATATTTTTAAACTGACTTTTTATAGGTTAAAATTAATTTTGAAAAAGGTATACTTTTTGCAAAAAAATATCTTTTTTTTCGATATTTTTGAGATTTTTGAGATAATTTTATTTTAGTATGATAAATATTTAAAAAAATTTTAATTGGATTTAGTGGTTACATAAAATCGCGCGCGTCTTGCGGAAGACGCTCGGCGTCAAGACGCTGGCGGAAGACGCTGTTTTGTGGTTACATAAAACTAGCGTTTTGACGCTTTGCGTCTTCCCGCTTAGCGGCAGACGCTGATTTTATGTAACCACGAAACTGCGTCTTCCGCCGGCGTCTTGCGTTTTTTATGTAACCGTAGCATTAATTACGGATCAGGTTTTGCTCCTCCATTAGGTGATGGCCTAGTAAAAGTTCTTTCTCGTAAGGATGTATGTAAATAAAGCCAGTCGGTCAAGAAATTTGGCAATACTGTAGAATTCGGTCTCGTTGAAAAATTAATTTAAAAATACTGCAAAAACAGATCATACATGTCGGTACTAGAGGTCGGCAAAATCGCATTTCCGGGATCCCGAGTCGGGATTTTGGATTCGTCCCACGGCGGGCCAAACGGGACATTGGGGGTCGAAAAATAGCGTGTTATTTTTAAGAGAGACGAATACATTCTTTTTTGACTTTATAGCGGTCGTTTCAGTGCCAATAATTAATACCGTTTGAGTGCTGATTTCACCGAAGAGTTTGAGTGTCAACGAGGAGAACTCTCTCTCATTAGTTAAATCATTATATCTTTTCACCCTCCCACCCGATTTTTTTCAAATTTGGCATTTTTGTAGGCATAAAATAGAGGATATAGTGTAGTTCACCGGAGGTAAAAGTTCGGGACGAGACATATGTCATTCGATTCGTCTCGGCGAGCTGAGTCGAACGGTACCACTCCCAATTTCAGGAAATGATTCTGGACCGAGTTATAGGTCCAGAAAAATCGAAAACCCAAAGGGGGGAGTAAGCACTTTTTTGGGGTGAAAAATTCGAATATGCAAATTATTCCTCATTCGAAAGAGCTCGTCGAGCTGAGTCGAATGACACCAAAATCAACGAAATCTGACTTGATTGGACCGAGATATAGACTCCTAAATATCGAAGATCCAAAGGGGCGATTTTTGGAATAAAAAATTTTTTATACAAATAATACTCATTCGAAAGAGCTCGACGAGCTGAGTCAAATGACACCAAAATCACCGTGATTGAACAAGATTAGACAGTTATGATACAAAAAAACCTAAACCTATGGAGCGTCGGCGAGGCGCTTGTGCAAAACCCCGCGCTTCGCGCGGGGTTTTGCGGCACGCGCCTCGCGGGGAGTCTACGGGCGCTGGGTCTGGGCTCGTAACATAAACCTATTCCTATCTCCCTTGCTCTTGACGTATTTGGGGCCTCCGTAGCAGCAAAAATCTCCATAGATCCCATAGGTAAGGAGCTAAAATAAAAGATCATAACTTTGTCCAATCAAGTCAGATTTCGTTGATTTTGGTGTCATTCGACTCAGCTCGACGAGCTCTTTCGAATGAGGTATAATTTGCATATTCGAATTTTTCACCCCAAAAAAGTGCTTACTCCCCCCTTTGGTTTTTCGATATTTCGGGACCTATAACTCGGTCCAGAATCATTTCCTGAAATTGGGAGTGGTATCGTTCGACTCAGCTCGCCGAGATGAATCGAATGACATATGTCTCGTCCCGAACTTTTACCTCCGGTGAACTACACTACAGCCAAAATAGATAACAAATTCTGAAAATTTTGAGAAGCCAATATAGATTTTTGACGAAGTTATGGATATTGAAAAATTGGTAAAATTCGTCCTATTTTAAGCCATAACTTTCTCCAAAGTTGTCCTTTTCCGCAAATTTTTGTTTTATACGAATCAGGGATGAAAAACGAACAAAAACTATGTAGATTTTGCGCATGTTATCTTGACTTACTATTTAGGTTGACACACCGGTTAACCTACTACCTATAACTAATGAACCCCTGGCCAAAATTTCTTCAAAATTTTCTGAATTGTAGTTCTACAATTAATATACAATCTTGCTAAATTTGAGCAGAAAACATGCATTTTTGGAGAAGTTATGAATTTTTGAAAATCGGTAAATATCCATAAACTTTTGGCCATAACTCAGCCTAAGTTGGTTTTACAAACTCAAATTTGACAAGATTCGACGTAACTCATCGAGCTGCATCGAATGGTATTGAAATCGAATTGAAATGACATTTTTTGTTCAGTTTTTCCATTAAAAATTATCAAAGTAATTGTGCACAGAAGTTAACGAAATCTGCATTAAAATTTAAAAAATTACATTTATTAGAAAGAAGAGAATGGAAACTTTAAAACTAGTCTGACAGAATTCGAATCGGATCTGTAATTTTCGAGATATTGGAGTTCGAAACCGGTAACCTAAAGTAGAGAGCAATGATAAAAACGAGAGAGTAAATAAATGAAAGAGAGGAAAAACGAGAGAGTGTGACGAGACTGTTAGATTTCCTGTGATGTCCCATTTGGCCCGCCGTGTCGTTCCCCTTGGATTCGTCCCCTTGAACAAAAACTTACGATTCGTCCTACTAGTTAATAATTGGCAAAAAGAGCTCTAATAAACATAGGATTTGAATCCCGACGCCGCTTAATCTAATTTTTTATAATATTCATCCAAAAAAAATTTTCGAAAGAGATTGTCGAAAAACTTTATAGCAACTTTAGGTCGCATAAATCTAACAAATGGTTTTCTTGGAAATGATGCTGAACTTGTTAAGGAATACATTTACAAAGTTGGAAAAGGTGCATATCTTCATAAATATGCTGGCCTTTGGACTCTTGGTTTAGATTTGTTACCGACCTCAGCACAACGTTCTTTACATTTATTTGTTTATAAAGGTTGCGTTTGTTCAATGGATTCTATGGTAAATTTGTGATTACACCTTCAGTGTTCCCCTCAAAAGCTAAAGAATATTACAAAATTTCTTTAAGCACGCTGTTACGCTTGGTTTTTGGAAGAGAAACGTGGGGGAGCTAGGGCCCGGACATTTGTGCGAGGAGCAGAGATGTTTCGAAACTGGAAAATCTTCGAAAATTTTAAATCAAAAAAAATTTTAAAAAGTAGAAATTATTTTCCCAAATTTTTGGTGAGATTGCTAGCGCTGTAATCCTTTAACTGCAGGCACTCAAAGCTAGGTTATGTTGGCGGATCCTGGGAAATCCAAGGATACCTTGATCCGTATCATCGAGCCGACACAGAGATTTCGGATATCCGAAACCGAAATTTTTATTATTGTAGTTAATATTGTCTGATGTGAAGAAGTTCTCCGTAATAATTCTCTGGAAGGCGGTTGTTAGGATTAAGTGGGAATTAAAGAATTAATCTTCCGAATTTCCAAGATTTTGCTCCCAATACACCCAAATCTCACTATAATCGGCCCAAATCTCGCTTAATCCCTTGATATCCATCTCATTCCTCTTATCACTCGATATCCCCTTAATCTACACGAATCCCCGAAATAATATTATCCATTGATTTTTAACCCGGAGCCAACATGGATCGTGTGCATATCATGGAATTTCGGCGGATTAAGAGGGATATAGACGGATTAACGAAAATAACTGAGATTTGGATGATGATCTAACGCATTACTGCTTATCTACTATGTCCGATATCAAGTTTTCTTTGTCTTCTTTTCCTTATCACCTCTAACCATCGTTGGCGCTAGTTTCTGTTGACATTTCTCTGGCGACAATGACAGTAAAAGTCATTTAGTGGAATAATCACCTATTCATCCATATTCAATCTAATTCAACTCCCAACAGCTGTGTGGTTCATACCGTCATGCCGCACCGAGATATCATTCATTCAGCGATAAATTGCCCTATACCTTTCTTACCTCCTAAATCGGAAATATCAGAAAATAAAGATGAATCAGTGGATATCAAAGGATTTGAAGGGATATCAGAGGATTTGGAGGCAAATACCTGAACCAAATCAGATATTACTCGATATCTCCTCCAAATTTCAAGCCATCGAAATCTTCCCAAACTATCTATACTCTCTTAATCATTGCCTTAATCCTAGATATCCCTAATATTCTCGCCTCTTTGTAATCATCGTTTTACCAAACTAAAAATTCCGCCAGCAGGCTGGTGTCACCAGTGATGTCAAAGTTCCAAAATTTCTCTGGAACTAGTTCCAGTTCCAGAACTAGGTTTTTAATTTTTGTAGTTCCAGTTTGTTGGGATTGGGTTCCGAAGCCTTTCGAGGTTTATACAAATTATATTCTTTAAATTACTTTATTTATGTACATTTAACTATTTACAAATTAAAATATATACAAAGAGAAAGTAGGGAAAGGGGACGATTACAAGAGTCTGGCCAGATCTGATACACTTCTAATTAGATATATAAATGACCATTTTGGATGAGTATTTATAGGGGACATTAACAGGTCAAGATTGGGGTAAACAAGTGAATAACAAATAATAATATAAGGGTCGGGAATTGTGATAAACTCTGATAACGGTCGGGATTTCTTTTAATATAGGAAAAGGTCAAAATATATGTGCCTGTGAATGCACGTGAATACATCATTTATTTTTAGTTTATTTATTTGATTAGGAGGGATGCAGCATTTCCTTCCCTCTTCGAAAAGAACGTCCACGTTCTAGTATTTCGGGTGATTTGCTTAGGCCGCTTTTTTAATTAACTGCTTTTCTTTAAACTAAATTTTCTCCGATTAAACGGGTGTCACTTTAATTTTACTTTAATGAGGGTAATTTAGTTATATTTTTTTTTAACTTTAATTCTTCAAGACATTATTTTAATTTTCTCATCGTACAATTTTGAACGACGGTTTTTTTTAAATACTTCCTTACATTTTCACTCCGACCAAGCTTTATCTTTTTTTTTTTGATAGTCTGCGTCTTTGTGACGGCTTTGAAATTAATTTTATACTTTTATTAATTATTGTAAAAGCTGTAATTCGCTTTGAATTTTTTTTAGTTTTCTTCTTTAATGTTTCTTTTTTTTTCAGCCTTTTTTTTGCCTAATTCTCCGAAAAATTAATTATAGGGATATTACGTTGAAAAAGAAAGGGTTATGGGTTGTTTTACATGAATACAGTTAAAAAATTTTGGTAAATAGACGGAAAACAAGGTGAGGGGAAATTTGGATAATTAGCAATAAATATATTAAAAGGGGTTTTATTTAATCCAGTCAAACACTTTGTAGAAGAGCAGCGATTTTAGTTGAGTTCTAAGTTGTAGAGCAAACTTTTTGTTTCCATTTAGTTGATTTTTTTTGCAAACATTTCTTCATCCTTTCTGAGTTGATTTTACTGCAGAGGCCTATGTATGTTGTTATTGTTGTAGGAAGATGTCTTCTTCTGATGTTTCGGTCGATTCTCCCAATTTAAGACAGGGGTTTTTTCTCTACTGGTTTTCTCGATTTTGGACTATGTACTATATTTTATTTTATTAAATCTTATTTTTGGTTTTCTCAACAAATTTTCTAAAAAATATAAATTTTACTCCATGTGCGACTTTTGCGTGTGACTTGTTGATAATTGACGGCTTTTATCAAGTCCCGGTGAATTATTTTACTAACAATTTCTTCGGGCATTTCATTATTTTAAAACAAATTAGTGTTTTTCTCGGCGAGTCTAATGTTTATTTTCTGACGGTATTTGATTTTTTTTCCCTGCCGGTGTTTCAGCTTATCAATTTAGGTATTCATTTCCCTTTTAAACATTCGATTTGCCGGTGAATCTCCTATTTTTTTAGGGATGGGTGAAGACCTACATATATTCTTTTAGGTCTATTTTATTTGCTTCTCTTATCTCATATTTTTTTAATTACTCCTATTTTTAACATTTTCAAATGTTTATTTAATTCTGCTTGATGTTTTTCTGATACTTGGTAAGGTCGTCAATAACCGGAATTTCAATGTTTGTTTAAATTGTCGGAGCAATTTATAATGTAAAAATTGTCATTTTCATTTTTTTACTACACTCGCCTTTTTTATGTTCTATTTCTAATTTTTCTCGCTCTTCCATAGTAATATTTCTTTTTGTCCTGCATTATTAATTAATTGTGTGTTTTTTTTTGAAATCGAGATAAAGCGGGAGTTTTGCAATATATTTCTACCAATTAGTCCGCCGTATTTGCCTGTGGTACTTATGTCGCGTTTTGTACGCGAAACTATTTTTGTAATTTTGACACCTGTTATTTTTTTGAATACTTTCTAATTTTTGTAAGTTTAACTAGTACCAGCCAACACAAATTTAATCTTTCTCGTTATTCATTGTAAACCCATTAGTCATTTTTTCTCAACTATTTTAATCTAAAAATGTAATTTCTAACTTTTACTAGTTGTCACCGAACATCTGCTATTTTTAAACTTTGTCTATGTAAATTCCAATTAAAATGACCTGCCTATAAAAGCCCATCTTTTTACTCACACTTTAGCTTCTCTTAATTTAGCTTCTTTTTAGCTTTTCTGTTATCTACATTCAAACCCTTTAGCTCAACAAGGCTAAAATATTCCTTAAAGTGTTTACCAATAATTTATGCCCGATCTTAAACAAGAAGATCATATATTTCCCCTGATTATCCAGAATACATTTCTTCCAATCTTAAACAAAAAGATAAATTTAATTTGATCCCATTTTCCCACTAGACTTTAATCTTGAGCCACCTTTAATTTGTATATTTCGAATTCAAAGTAAATGAATATTTTATGTTTTTTCATCAATTCAATAAAAATATGGCAAACAACAATTTTGCCTTAAAATCCCATTTTTCAAGAAATAAGAAATTTGGTTTTTTATACTTATTTCGTTTTCTTATATGAAATTAAGGTGTACATCTCGCAAGCAGCGGTTTTAAATTTAATTTCTCCTTTTCCAATAGTAAGTACTTTTCTGTCCAATCCCTACTATGGCGTATATTTCAGGGGAATGAATTTTATTAATTTTTAAGTTTTGTTTCAATGATATGTGGGCTCCTTTATCTAATAGAATTCACATTGATTTGTGAAGCTAGCAACCATTTTCTAGTTATTTGTGGTATTGCTCATTTATTAAAATTCTCTCATAGCAAAAAAATTATGATAAATCTCAATTTAAAATATCATTTCTCTGCCTTATTACGAGTATTTTTTATTTTATCTGTTTGTTTATCACATTCTCCGCATTAGTAAGTGGTCTTTTTTTGCGATAATGACTTGTTTTGGACTGCTAAGTTAATTATTCTAATAACCTTTTAGATTTTATCTATAACATCGTTTTACAATATCTACGTTTTAGAATATTTTAAGTACAATATTGTATCAATACTCGTGAGTCTTACGTTTTCTAAACGTAGGTATTTGACGGTTTTTTCTTTTGCTTTTTATTATTTTAAGCAGGTTTTCATTTTTCAAAAATACATATTTATAACCTTTTTTTGAATCCTAATTTAGAATATTATTTGCATCTCTCTGTTTTATCTTTTGTAAGAGTATTTTTATTTATTTTTTGATTTTGTCTTTTCTTTAAGTTAATGCCCTATATTTTTTTCCAATTCTATTATAAATAAGGATTTGTTTCACTTTTGTTTTATA